TGGGGGTTGGGTAGTGTGTGAAAAGGGGAGGGGTGATTGGGTTTGTTAGACTGGGGGTTGGGTTGCGTATCGAGGGAGGGATGAGGGGTTGTAGCAGGATGTGAAGGGTTTATTTGTTCCTAGTAAGGGGTGCATCGCCATCCCTTCCTTCTCCCAGCAATTCCAAAGATAGAAAAGGAGACCAGACAATCATAATATGCTTTTACGACTGGTAATAAAGATATATTGTAACATAGAATTTGCTTCTACATTTAGTCCAACCAGAAAACTGGAGACAGTCTCGAGCCAGGCAGAGAAGGGGTTAATTAAGTCAACTAAAGCAAGAGTATATGTTGATTTTTCCCTGCGTCTGATGTTGATGATATACTGTGATCATTTCAATACGTTTGAAAGTAGTCTTGTAAATTCGGAGATGCCTGGATAGGGACTGAATATTTTAACTGGAATATAATGATAACTAATTCGCTAACGCTTTGCTACTCTGTTTGTATGTGTTCTTTTTATTGCCTGATTTTAAGATAAGATAAGATAATAAGGTACCTCTTTATTGTCCAGATCCTGACACATTGGTTTCGTGTTTCATCATGCACACACATACACACATTTGCACACACAAATACAATCACAAATACTCTCACACACAACAATCACTCACACAATCACACACACACACACACACACACACACACACACACACACACACACACACACACACACACACAGAGAGAGAGACACGCAGACACACACACCAACACACACACACACACTCTAACACACATACAATACACACACACACAATACACACACGTACACGTACACAATACATACACACGTGTACACAATAAACATACACGTATATACACACGCACACACACACACACGCGCGCACACACACACACACACACACACACACACACACACATACACACACACACACACACAGACACACACACACACACTCTTACCCGCCCCTTTCCTTCCTCCGTCACCACATATTTACTGGTGACCTCAAACATACTCGATCGAGGATACCTGACCCCCCCCTCTCCCTATGCTGGTGCCTACACTCCGGACAAAGCCCACTGCTGTTATATGACAATAGCCTTCGCTGGTCACCCAAGGCTGAATGAAAAACCTTATCTTGTTAGAACAAATGTGAGACAGCGTGGTGAAACCAGGCGCTCTTCAAAATAATCAAAGTGAAGAAACTGGTATTTTTCCTCAGGTTTGTGAATTTTCATCTTATTTTGGTTTTTGGCTCAACGACTTCCATGCCCGTTTAAGAAAACATTTCTGAGTGGATTTTACAAAAAAAAACGTCGATAAAAGGCACTACAAATGTAAATTTTCAGTTTCCACGGACTCTCAAGCTAAGGGAAAAAACTCATCTTTGGCGGCATTTTTCTCACTAATTTTACCTCTGAAACCAGGTGACCCCTACCTTCTTCATTCGCAAATATATCGACTTATATTCAAGATAAATGGACATTTTTCCTCCCAAGCAAGACAAATGAACACGTTTGCGATGTTACCAATAACTCTACATGCCTAAAAATTGACGAGAGCCTGATTCCACCACGCTGCCTCACAAATTGTCTGACCACCTACAGTGCGGTCAAAAACTCGTGGCTCAACTTATCCTCAAATATCTCTTTAACGGGCGAACTAATGTTACCCATACTTTACACAGCAGTTTGTCTCAATTTGTCTTAACTTAATCATTTTTTCCCACAACAATTGAGACTAGATTTCAAAAACTTTTCTTCTTAAATTAATATAAAATACTATAAATCTCCATCCCGCGGAAAATGGAATTGCTCACAGCACTTCCCGCTTCTCACACACATTTTGCTTACGCATATGGCTTGCGTCACAGCTCATAGAGTGCAGGCAAATCGCTGTCGTCTCAAAGAGACAGGGTGGCTTTATGACGAGGAATCTCCTCAATCGAAAAAAAGAACTGAACGATAGATTGAAACGTGCAAACAGACTGCACAGCTCGATAAAACTGACAGTTTTCGCATACGACGAATCTGATACATTTTATCGTTGCGTGTAACCTGGGCTTTAATTCAGGTTTAGTGGTAGGTTGGCGGTTCCTCTGGTGTGGTTTGCTTCTTCTTTCCTATCAAATGTCTATCCTCTTTATCTCCCCCTCCTTCGTTTTTTGTATTTGTTACTCTCGTGTAACACCTCTAATCTTCGGCGTTTATATGACCTTATTGTATTGCAAATGCCGTAAAACTCTTACTAAATCTAAGTCAGGTTTTGTTTTTGTATTTGAGGTAAAACATTTAATGTTGTAGTCAATAACCCAAAAACATTGTTTTCAAAAGATAATAGTGTGAATTGAGGTTTCTGTTAATATTTATATACGTGCAGTGTGAGTCCTACCTACATTTCAGGTTTCCCGCAGATAAAGAACGATGTCATTTCAGCCAGAGCCTCAACTCTTCAATGGTAAGTCTTGTTAAGTTCACTTTTTAACTCTGAAAACAAG